TACCAAATTCTTTACATATTAAATACTGTCAAGAACATACAAATTAATTTTTGAGGCTGAGAGCAGCAATAGCCAGCTCTTGCAGAAGGACTTTGTGTGCTCCAGAGCAGTGAGACAGAAATCTAGCGACAGCAGTAGTCTCTTCAGCACCCTGCAGGCCTGTTGTCCAGAAACTGGGTAGCACTGTATTCTGCAATCGACTTCTAGCCTTAATTCGGATCACAAAGCCGACAGAAGCTGCAGCACAAGCCCCTTCTCCTGCAAGGCAAATCCAGCGCCGAGAGCTTTGCTTAGCGCCTCTCGCAGCTGCAGCCCTGCTGCCCAGAGCGCATCAGACCAGGAGCCACCAGCTGCCAGCCCTTGGCGAGATACCGCCTACGAGGAGTTCCCAGCCAAACCTCCCGTTCCCTGTAGAAACAGGCTGTTTCCCTGCTAGCCCTTAATTGCTGGGCTTTCTCTGCCTTAAATCCTGCTGGTACTGGTCGGGCAGGTGGGGCTAAGTGAGCCGGGGTGGTAGCTTCAGGCCTCCTGGCTCCCACAGCAGCAGGTCGCTGTGCCGTAATTAGTGTTGGTTAATGGTGTGTTTGGCAAGCTGTGAGCGTTCTGGAAGTTGTTCCCTTCGCGCAGTCTTTCCTTTCATTCCTCACCACCCACTGTTCTTGGCAATTGCTAGTTAAGGTGGAAGTTTCTTAAGAAACTGCTTGTTAAAGATTTGGAAATAGGGTGCTGTATATGCCAGTGGCAATCCTTTTCCCTGCAGGATTAGCAAATGGAGTTGTTCCGTGTCCAGTTGCATTTCTGTCATTGTGCTTCCGGCTTTGCATAATTTTTGAGGAACAGTTTAGGATGTTAAGTAGCTCGTCTAGAGCAGGGCAGGCTGCCATATAAGAGAGGGAAGACCAGGGAATGAGTTTTAAATTAGGTCAGTTGATGTAACTGAAAAGAAAAAGTCAACAGTTTGGGGCATCAGGTCTGATAATAACTGCTCTGTATTAAGCTAAAAAACAGCTAGATCATCTGAGAGAAAGACCAGATAATAATTGTCAAATGGAGGAGAGATTAGTGGAGAGGAGGGCTATTAGCAAGGGCAGAGGTGATTGAGTATCTCCCATGGAAAGAGACCTCATTCATCACTTTAAAAAGCATGGAGGGATTATCTTGGGGGTGAATTACAATGAGCCATTAAATAAAAATGTCATTATTTAGTACATGCTAAAGCTATGAATTTCATTTCCCCTGCTCATCTTTGTGGTCTGCCTTGAAGACTAGCACTGAGAAGAGAGAGATGGCTGATCCCTGTGTGAGTGGTGCATCTGCAGGAGATGGGGTGCTCCTGTTCTCTATCTTGGCTCTGCAGGTTCATTCCAGTCCATAGTGGCTGCTGTAGTTTCACCCACATAGCTCCCCTAAGGGCATCTGCTGCACTGACTGAAATTGAGGGTGTTCTAGGAAGTGTGCATGAACCTTTTATCTTGATGGTTCTCAGGTAGGTGGGTGGTATTTATTATAACCAAAAAGATCTTGTGAGAGAAAAAATAAATTATTTTATAAACCATCAGTAGATGCAATAGGGCCAGGGGAACAATTTTTAAAATTTTCTAAGACTTTAAACAAATAATTTTCAGGTTTCAGTTCTAGCTGTTCTTCAATAACAGTTCTCTTAAAATATAGCAGTGGGCAGTTTTTATTTTACTAAAAATGTCATTACATGTTATTTTACTAATAATGTAATTATTTCCTTAAACAGAAGCTGAGTCTTGAATGGTTTTCTGATATACAGATTGTTTTGGCCTTTTGCAGGAGCCTGTATATAAATTCTTGAAAAAAAATGTTTTATGGAAATACTTCTTGAGAGCAGAATGTTGCTTGTTGGAGTGCAAGCAGAAGGTAGAAACTTCTACCAAGTCAAGTAATTAGTTAAAAATTATTTAAAGTGATGCTCAGCATGAGCCAGAGTTTCTTGCTGTTTCTTCTCTTGCAGATGTGGCAAGTAACAATAGTAGCAAATATCCAGCTCTGTACTGAATGCTTATTGATTGCAGTAATAACATATCTGGTCATAATTTATGTCTTCCAACTAGTCTAGAAAATCTAGCACTTCTGCACATAGAATAGAGGCAGTATTTTGAAACTGATTTCTTAACAGAATTTACTTTACCAGTTCTAGTTAATATTCATGCTGAAATCTAGAAATGTTTCTTCTCTAAACAGTGAATGGAGGCTGCAGTGTAGAGCAGCTTTCATCAGGCAGGTATTTATATGGATTTTAAAGAGACTTCTGTGTGAGTAAAGTAAGGAAGAAACCAAAACTTGTAGTTTGGGGGTTTTGTTTGTCTTTTTTAATTATAACCGAAATATACTATAGCTTTTACTTCATTGTGTCCACATGCTCTATCAGGAAAAAATAACATGTTAAAAGAATCATAGAAGTGGCTCTTACAGAGCTGGACATTTCCCTGGCTGCTCTCATGAAAATTTAGCATTTTTACTAAAAACAAATTCAATTTTTGTGCCTCTTCTTGGGGACTACATTGTCAGACACTGGCCTCTTATTGCCCCAGTCTTCACTATTTGTCTTATAACTAATTCCCAATAAAACTAGGACAGTTGGATAAAGTGCAGGAGAAAAATTACTTTAAGCAACCTTTCACCTGCTCCACTTCTGTTCCTGCCCTGAAGCCTGCATTAGTGATGCTATAGACTGTACTTGGCTAAAGGGGGGCATTTGCCCTGTGGAATAGTAAAGGGTGCCCAACACTCAGCAGCTGTCAGACCCTTAATCCTATTTCCAGTTTATCTGCTGCAGCAAAAGTTGTGATGCACACCTGGCCTTTTATGCAAGACATATTTCTTGAAGGTAGATCTATTATTCCCGTTTCTCTTTCATGTAATATTTTCCAAGGCAGTTTAGGAGGCAATCAACACTGTACAGTCTGAGAGATGGTTGCAGCTGTTTTGTGCTAGATTTGATTCAGGGGGAGTGCAGACAATCTGTATTCAATTTGGCAGCCAAACTGAAAATGGGGAGGGAAAAAAGCTCTGAACAATGAAAATGCAAAAGGACAATTGTTTTTGTTTTACTTTGAGGAAAACCCAAAACTTCATTTAACATTCCCATAATGCAGCATGTGGGCTCAAACCCTTTTTTCAAAAGATGTTTGAAGGTAGGCCTCCCACAATGTAGAACACTTTTATGTTTTAAATCAAAAGTGGCTGAAAAAAATATTTCAAAAGCATAAAAACATATAATCCTAGTATTTATATTTCTTTCCTATTTTCAGTTTCACATCTATAACAGATTTTTTTTTTTTTTTGCAAATAAACAATTCACTAATAAATTTGCTGAACTCTTGTATGGACCCAGGTTAGCTTATGTGGGAGCTGGCATGAGAGAGACAAGACTATGGAGGGGTTGAAGCATAATGAAGTGTATGTTTACTTCAGTAGAGTATATATGTACTTGGAACTGCTGATTTTATTCTTCCTATCGTTTTCTAAAATGTGCCTGGGAATTGTGTAATTATGGCAAGATAAAGTCACTTCTATTTTCAAAAAGAGTGTCTGTAAGGAAGAAAGACTCCACTGGAGCTATAGGCTTTTCCTTTGAACAAAGGTTTGGCTCACCAAATAGTATCCATTGCTTTGTATTCTATCCATTGATAAGTATAGGTGGAATTTCTTGTTTATCTTGTTTATTGTTTTTGAACACTTATCTAATGGTTTCAATGACTTTTCTCACAATAAACCTTTCTTTTTCTGATGATGTGATTGTTGATTGTACTATTTAACCCACATTCCCTACCATACTTCCTTGTTTTCACATTAAATTAGTTTACAATTGTTTACTCTGGCCTGATTTTGACACTTGCAGTATCAGTTACCTGAATGATCAAAATCCTTTTGAAGGTTAGACTATTGTTTTCTTTTTTACTTTTTTTCCCCATGCTTAGAAGACTTGAAGAATTTATAACACTGGATTTCTAAATTTACATCACATGTTATTTAGAATTATTCAAGGTGAAGAAAAGTATTTGAACAGAGCTTAATATTGACACTAGAGATAAGAAATGTCACATCTTGTTTTAGTTTAGTTGTTTAGTTTCAGGCTTTATGAATTCCAAAATAAATTTAATAAAATTCTTCCAGTAGAATAAATAATGGCAGATATAGAGAGGAAGGATGAACAAAGGAGAAGATTGGAGCTCTAACACAAAATCCTGCATGGGAGTGGCTGGGGAAGCAGGCTGGAGCAAGGATGGGGAAATTGAAGATGTAAAGCCTGAAACTGCTAGGGTTAAGCAACTGGGCTAGGAGTTAGGCGCTGAGGGTTTTGATATGTTACTGAAAGTCAGTCCCATTCCAGACCTTGGGCACTGGATCTAAGATTGCTGAATTTAAATGGCCGTTTAATATCGAGAAATAAAGTGTGGGTTTGTAGTCCTGCCTCTACAAGGTGGAAAAACTACTGCTGCCATCAGTCACTGTGAGGTGATGTAACAGAAGTCTGTACTCAGGTCTAAAGGTCGTGGTGTTGCTGGGAACTCCGAGTTTCTGTGTGATGATGCAAATTTCTGCTTTTCCAGCTTCTCTTTCCTCTTAACCAGAAAAAGTGCATATATCTGCACATGCAACTAAATTCAAAAGATAAATTATGCCAAAATTTGGACTGTCTGGGCAGCTGAATCCACACCCATGCTGGGGATATAGTCTGAGGCTATATAGTAATTTTGTTACTGCTTTCACTTTCAATAGGTAGCCAACAGAGCTCATCCAGGAATAAAAGTGGGCTGAGTATTGTAGAAAGTGTCTGTGTGTGTGTGTGTGTGTGTGTGTACGCACGCGTTACTCGCTCACAACAATACGGGGAGCTGTACAATTAATGATAAACTGGATCCAGGAATACAAAGCGTGGGAGGTTGAGCATGAGAAATAGATTCTGCGCTTTGCCACGGCGTTTGTGCTCCTTGTTGGCCAAATCACTTAAAGGCAGCGCCCGTTCTCTAAACGCCCGCAGCCTGGATTGGAGCTTCCCTGCCTTGGGAAGCCCGCTCTGCGTCCGCAGCCGCCGGCTCCGCGCGGCTCCCGCGCACGGGCGCTGCGGGGCCCGGGGCGGTCCCGCGGGAGCCCCGCCCCCGAGGCAGCCGGCCAATGGCGGAGCGCGGGCGGCGCCGGGGGCGGCGAGCGGGGCTCGGAGAGGGGCGGGCGCTCCACGGGCAGCGGGGCGGCCGCGCGTGGGGCCCGCGGCGGCCCGGCTGCTGCCTGCGCTCGGCCGCCGCTCTCCGGTAAGCGCCGGCCGCGGGAACGCTGCGGCGGGAGGAGGGGGGGCGTCGCCTGTCGCCGCCGGGAGGAGCCGTGGGCGAGCGTGGGGCAGGGCGCCGGTGAGCCGCCGTGGGGACGGGGGCGGCTGAGGGGCCCGGCGGTCCCTCGGTGCGAGTCTGGCCCCGGCCACCCCGCCGCGCCGCCCGGCCGTTCCCCGAGCGGTACCGGGCGCTCCCCGCGCCGCCGGCGGCCCCTGCCCGGAGCCTGCTGCGGCCGCGGGGCCGGAATGCGCGGCGGGGGCAGGGCGGGCGGAGCGCCGACCCCCGCCCGGGGCACCGGGAGCGGCCCTGCCCTCGGCCCGCCAGCGGCTCGGCCCCTCTTGCCTTTTTTGCTTGCTTGCTTTTTTTTTTTTTTTTTTTTTTTTTTGTATAAAAGTTGTTCCTGGCACTATCTTTTGGTTCCAACTAATAGAAGTAGCAGAAGAACATTAAACAGTACAAGGATCTCAATAAAGTCCTTTTTCTCCCCTCCCTACCGGGGAGATTGTGCTGGGAGAGCAGATTTTTGAAATATCTGGCGCTTTAGTTTTTCATCTTTTTTCCGTCGGGACGGGCAATGGCTCGCTGTGAGCCAAAGGAGTCTGGAGGCGTTTATAACAAAGCTGGTGGATGCTTTTCGCTTTAAAAGAGTCTCCTGAAGAAATATGAAACACTTCCCAGTAATGAAAGGCATGTGTTCTGGGAGGGAAACGTTCCCCATCTGCCTTGTACCACAGGAGGAACAGACGGAAGGGCTAATATTTACGAGGAAAAGGTGCCTCGTGTGCTAAGCTGCTCAAAAAAAACCTTCTAAGCACAAGTTTTTCCCGCTTAGAAGCAGTTTGTCATCGCTTTTACAGTTTTCAGAATGGTGGCATTATTGTACTGCTTGTACAAGAAAAAGAGACAACATTTCTAAAGTAACACAGCTTTAAAAGCACGGACTTGCCACTGGAACAGGTCTAACAAATCATGCAACTTAAAAAGTTGACTCTGAAGCTGGCCAGACTTAAAAGAGGCATGTCTTTTAAATAATATGAAAATCTTTCTCGATATAAATAGATATCACACTTGTTAAGAGGAGAGAAGGTTATGTTTTGCCTCTAATTGCAAGGCAAAATTGCAAAGTAGCTTTGTAGCCATGAGAATTATATGTGGGAACAGAAGAAACTTGCTTAAACACTATGTTTAATGTAAACCTCACTTCAATCTACTTGAGGTGTTTGGAATTGCTTAATTATCTGCATTATTTGTATAGTGTGATGAGTGTTCTTATAAATACTGACTTTAAGCAGTAAACAGAAATTAGAGCAGTTAATTTGTGTTAAATTCTGAAGCTTTTTTCCCCTCTTTCCCCCCCCCTCTGCCCCGCACACACTCCCTGGAAAGCTTGCACATTAATTACAAAAACAACTGCTTTCCTCTGGTATTTTTAAACTGCAAACAGAAATAAAGCAGAAATAATGGAAAAATAATTGAAGTGTATTAGAGTAATGCCTATTGAAATTCATAGTGGGAGTGTTCAAAGTGGTAAAGGTGCTACTACTTCAGTTGGTCTAACCAAATATAAACATATGCAGGAGAACCCGTTTCGACCTGTATTTTTTAGTTTACAGCAACTTTTATTTTTAGGTATGTAATTGAATTTAAAAATTTGCTGCAGATGTGTCTACAACCCACATTAACTTTTTAGCAGTTCCAGTTTGGTTTTGGGTTTTTTTTCCCCTGTGGTGTTTATGCTATAGTGTAAACACTGGGAATTTCTCCTGGTGTTGGGAGAACAACAGCAGGCGTTGTGGGAGCTGCTGGAAGTGTACCTGACTCTGCCACCTGCAGTTTGCTTTGAAATGAATCATTTAACCTGACATGGCAAAATTTTCAGTAGCTTTCTGGTTTGTTGGTTTTTTTTTTCCTAAAGGAAAGAAATGCAGGTAGTTTCTTAGTTTATGCTCCCCCAAATTTGTGCATTTTTATGGTGGAGCTTTCAGAGCAGAGCAGTATCATTCAAGATAACTGCACTGAGACTTGCAGATGAACTTTGATACTAAAATAGTTTTTAATTTTCTTCATTTGTCTATGTCTTTCTTTTGATTGCCTTTCATATTTATAGATAACAGGCTGAAAAGCCCACATAACTTCTTTGAGGATATTTTCCTTTCTGAGACAAACTGTGATAGGCCATGGTTTCTTGCGTGGCACACTGCACAAAGAAAATTTATCCTATTGGATCAAGGCTGTGTGTTATCTTAAGAGAAAGGATGCTGAATACAGCTTGGTGGTTCATGCAAGAGGGGATGTTGATCATAGTCTGTATCATATCAAGTGTTTTTGTGATTGTATTCAGTTGAAGTAAAATTTCATGGTAAAGAATAGGTCTTGGTAAATGTAGAGAATGCAATTTCTAAATACTCAAGGAAGAAACTGCTCATGAAATAAGTATGCATCGTGATTAGCTTTTGAAATAATTTTGGCATGCCACCGATTTTTTTTTTTTTTTATGCAACAGTCTGTCTTCTGTACAAATTTAAATAACTTCAAATAGTCAAAGCTTTTATAATCCCCAGTTTAGCATTTTTATGTAAAGCAGTATCATCTTTAAAGAAGTTTTGGATCTTTTAGGTACAAAAGTATTGCTTCACATGCATTTCTATACTAACCAGCATTTTTCCTTCTCTTTTACCTCCTTCTCCCTCCCTGATTTTTAAGGGTTTCACCGTTGGCTTGTCCAATGGACATCAAGTGGCAGTGAGCGTTGACTGCGGGAGCTCTCCAAGCGCAGCGGCTGCTGGGATGTTGCGGCAGAACGGCGGAAGTAACAAGCGTGGTTTGGGATTAGCCCGCCTGTCTACCTCCAACTTCTTCACCGTCTCCACTTCGGCAAACTGGGGAATGGGGCGCAGCACCAAGAGCAGCTCTCTGAGCAGCATTAGCTCCAACTCTGACTGCTATGATTCTCCTGTTGTGGATCCAGAATATATCATGCAACTGGTGAACGATGTCAGAAAATTTGCAGATGTGCTACTATATTTGAAGGAAGCCTTTCTTTCAGAAGGTGTGTCGGTTGTTCTCAATTCTTAGATTTTCTGAAACTTAATTAACAACTCCATTTGTGTGTTTTAACTAGTGTTTGCTGTGGTTGTTTCCCCCTGCCATTTACCTTCACCAGTTATCCTCCCTTCCTTTTCCCTCCCCACCCCCAGCATGATGATTACAGGAAGTGATGGTTTTTAGTTTGGGTTCTGCATTTCCTCACCAGAACAGTGCAATCTGTTTCATAATCATAACAAGGGAAAATAAGCTCTTAGCAGGCTGTCTAGGCTGATGCTTAAATTTGTGAGACCATCGACTGATTAGTTTTTTAACCACTTGAATGGTTAAAATTATTTTTGTAATTACAAACAGTTATATTAATATTTTGGTTATATTTCAGTTTTCTAGGCTGATTTTGTTTCTGAAAGTCTTCCACACTAGTAGTTTGAGTTTTAAGGTAAAATATAACCACTGTCTTCCTTTGCAAGAGAAGTATTTACTGCCTTCTGCCAGCAGGTGGAAACTGCAAATTTTCTTGCTTGCGGGAGGTGTTGGTTACTGTGTTCCTGTTCCTTTCGGGGCAATACCAGTAGTCCAGTTTTGGTCATCAGCAGGAAAGCTTTTATCTGAATTTTGTGATATTAATATCTGAACTGACAGCAGTTTTGTATAAGATGTCCTGAGTGCTGAACATTTGCAGTCACCTCTGTGTTCAAATGAGTGTGCACACAGCTGAAATACTGCTGCTAAAATGTGTGTGAACAATTTGTAAAAGAGCAATAATTTGACACTAGTGATCACTTTCATGTCCTCATAATTTTTGCTGAGCACACAGGATGAGCAGAGTTATTTGTGTGGTTGGGTGTCTGGTGCCTACTGAGAATGAAATAGGCATCCTGTAGGAAAGGAGTGTCAAAACACCAAAGTGTTCCTATTGTCATACAGCAGTAGTTAACTACTTGTCAGTTTAAAATTCAAAAAAAATTAACATGGAAAACAGGAGTTGTCATCTTATTTTATAATACAGTATGGAATTAATTTGTGAAACTGTGTTGTGCATTTGAAGGATTTATAATTTATAAAGTATAAAGGAAAGATGTTTCTCTTCCATAGTTTGACCTTTGTCCCCATAATATAGTGAGCTCTGTAATGCTGGCCATGCTTACTGCTGGCTGGAGACAACCTACTAGAAGCTGTATTGTTTGGTTTGCATTTTCCAATGTTTGAAAACGCTTGCAATTGTCTGTCCAAAAACTAAAAAAAAATTTACCATAGTGGTTGAACAGGCTTCTTGAACATAAAAATATGGTTTGTAATGCTTGCAACTTACCACCATCCTTAAATTAGTTACATCAATTATTTGAAGATGGAATCATATGCAGGGATAGGAAATGAATTTCTTTCTTTTTGGAAGAGTTGCTCAGTGAGTGTTTATATTTGCTTGGTAAGCATGCCTAGAAACTGCTGTAGGTTTTTCAGCTTCTAACCACTGTTCCCTCAGCTTCTGCATCAACTATGAGTTGTTGTGTTGCCTCTCTGGCAGATTTGTCTGAACTCCTGATGCACAGTAGCTTCAGGCTCAATTGACCATATGGCTCCCAGTTGTCCCCATTCTGCTGCTGATTGCCAAGGGTGTGTGCCTTCAGTGTCATTGATACTGATGCTTGTGTTCCCTGCTTGTGCTACCTGAGCTATCATAGAAGAGCCCAGCAGTTACTCACCTGTAGTTCACTTAACATTCATCTGATGAATCTTGGACGACAAATCTAAGATTTTGGGTTATAACATGTGTTTGTCTAAAGTAGAGCATAAATGCCTTGGGATTACAGACTTGAGCTGTGTTTTGTTATGGTACCAATGCAAGTTGATTTGTCACATTGAAGAATAAGTTGAAATCTCTTGAGGGGAGGGAGTATTAGGTAAATTAAATGTTCTGTAGATTTCTTCTCTTGCATTCCTTATGCTAACATGATTTCATTTCTTACTGTAGTCTCATTGTCACAATGCTGAATAAATTTTTGATACCCATCAACAAGGGGAAACCTAAGCCAACAACCAACCAACCAAAGCACCCCAAACCAGCAAACAAAACTCTGAATGTAACTGTAGAGTTTAAAAGTTTGACAGCTGTTTGGATATGAGGGAGATGCAGTTTTCTCTTGTGTTAAGTGAAGTACCATATGTTCCATACCCTTCAGTTCTTGCTGTACTTTTGGCCTTGCACTCACTGGATGTAACATTCTGTTATTAGTGATCCAATCTGGGAGCCACTGTAAAATCAAGATACTTTACGTTGTCTTCATTAAAGGAGAACTCTGGGCATTTTTTGTCCCTAGGTCAATGAATCCAGTGCTGTTCCACAAATTTTGTATTGATGCCAGGCTGAAACTGTAGTGGTGGTTAGTGCAACTAATACAGTTAGCACATCAGTCTCTTGGTCCAGCCTTCAGCTAAATTTCTAGATGAGCAAGATTGTCATGTTGCTAGCTAGTAAGGACTGTTGTTGTCAATGTGTTTTTGTGTTTGAACTGGAAGGTTGTCTTCAGTTGTAGCATTTATACTTTATGTAGTTAGAGCCAACTTAAATTTATTGAGAAGTCTCAAAATAAGTCAGTCTTCTTTTCTGATAAGAAGAAAATGAAAACAATTCCCTAGCAATTCCTG